TTTTCCTTTTAATCTTTGCCAAATTGTGTGGTTTTTCTTATGGCGTGCTTTATGGGTGCCATTGTTTTTCTGCTTTGTGTTTATAGAGTAACTGAAGGGCTACATCTATTTTCTGCTTCATTTTAGAAGAATATGGTGACTTTTCATGTAAGAACCAGAACTGGATGTACTTTCCTTGAGCAGCTTGCCCACATAGTAGATGCACATGCCTCAGCTCCCTCCTAAGCTCACTCCATCAAGCCTTCCCTCTGTAAACTAGATTCTTGGTGGGTGTCCTTTTGCTATGGAAAAACCCATTACAAAACCCATCCAGCGCTCACTTTCCTTCCTTCTCCTGACACAAGCATATTACAGCATGTCATCTCATGTCAGCAGTCACGGTGGCAATGACTCCCTGGCTGCATTTGTCACAGTTATCCTGTTGATCCTTGAAGGTCAATACAATGTCTGTTCCATTAGAGACATGTCATGCTGAAGGTGCTCTCAAATCCATCTGCCTCAAGAAATCTGTAGGTCAATAACAAAGGGGTTAACTGGACAGAGCTGCTTTATCCCAGGGGCTGTGCTTTTGTTTTCCTTTGCTTTGATACCATCTATTTCTAGCCTGTGAGCTCCTGCTCCTCATCTCCCTGTTTGTGGTCTGTATTTCTGTGTTGCCCTCTTGAAACAGATGAAACATTTGGCTTCAGTGGGAGGGTTATCTATCATGTGCACTAAATAGAGGTAGTAATTTATGAGGTTTTTCCCTCTCAGCATCATAAGCTTTTCAGCATCATAAGCTTTTTCTTGTAGCATATTTTCTGGCACCAGCCATTGGAAAGAAACATGGGGTCACTTCCTGGAAGAGAATGGTAAAACCCAGGACTTCATTCTGAGGTTAGAGAGGCAAATGATAATGAAAAAGATGTCTATAAATAACAGTGTAAAGTCTGGTGGTTTTCCCAGGGCTTTGTCCCATGGATTCTCTGGTAAGTGACAAGTTCTGTGACCTGATTGATAGTGACTGAAACTCCTCCATGTCTGTGATACAGTCTCTTAGCTGTCCTGTGGGACCTGTAGGCACGTGGAGTGTGTCCTTTCTCTCTGCTCACACAAAGTATCTGGAAAGTACCATTGTGCCTTCAAGCTTCCTTGGAATTGGCCAGCAGGTCTGACTGATGCTTGGGAGGATGAACACAGGAGGCTGTTTAATGGAACTGACCCTGCCTCCTCTGCTAATTTCCTTCTGAAATGTGCACTAATCGCTATCAGGCAGAAGCAGAAATAAGGAGTCTGTGGGTATTGGTACTAGCGTTGTGGTACTAAATATGTAGTAGTTACAGTTTCTGATTCAACAATCTCTGCTGTAGCTTGGCCCACCCCAGCCATACTGGTGCATCTGTGTGTCCTGGTCTCTTCCAGGTAAGGCAGGGTTTAACCTGGACTGTCTGTGAGCACCAGGTAGGCTGGTACACCCACAGCAACTTGCTGTGCCTTCACTTCTCTTCAGGGCTGGGAAACAGTCCAGCCCGTCACAGACTGTGTATTGTCATCACTACATCAAGGGATGAGCATGTGCAGTGCACGCTGGCTATGGATTAAGTAAGTCTCTTTCTCCAAAGGCTTCTTCCTTCTTTTCTTAAAAGAAACAATAGGTGGAGTTAAGCAAAGGCTTCCTGAAAACTTCAGTTCTACCCGGTTCAGTTCTAGCTTCAGGATGGTCCTTTTGGGTAAGGAAGGAGGTGCAGTAATGCTGTATCAAGCCATCTGAAGGATGACGGGTAACATGTCATAGCTATCAGTGCTATCACCTTTGTCATGTCACATCGCTGCTGGGATGTTTCCCTGCAGGCTGCTGTACACACTTCTAAACAGATTTTATTCTTGAAAGCTTTTCTATGCAGATTCCCTCCTCCCACCCCCAGTAGCAGTGAAGATGAGGAATCAGACACCACCTACTCCCATCTTGCAGTGGGTGCAAAGTACTTTCAGTTCACCTTTGAGTATTGCCCTGATTCCAGCAGGTTCCATAGGTACACTTCCCAGGTAATTTGCCACCCCACCACCACATACAATTCCACTTTGCCAAATATATCCAGCAGATTTTAAACACTTTATTTAATAAAAGTTAAACATACAAAACTGAAATTAACACACTTTGTATTCATAAAAATCACCTTCTCCCATTATAGGGAGAACCTTTTTCTATGTATGGATTCTAAACTACCAGTTGTAGAGTTTAGCTTGAGTTGTGACTCAGGTAACTGATGGACATTTCCACCAATCAGTGCATCAACAATTGCTGACGTGACCTGATCTAGTTAACAAATTACAAAATGAGCTACATTAACATAATATACAGGGAAATAATGGTCAGGGTTAATGGACAAGAACCACCTTTGAATTCTTTACCGGGGGAGAGGAAACAGCTGATGTACTCGTGTCCATTAACTCAGCCCTAGATTTTACAAAAATAATATCTACATTGTGTACAGGGCTATCCATTAACTCCTTTAAACACATTACAGGTTCAGAGATGGCACCACTACCGTGAGAGACAAGTAACAGAGGAAAGCAAATCACAGAGAAAATACAAGAAAGCAAGAGCTTTTACACGTTTCCTGAATAAAATGGAAGGGGCTGAGCAGCACTGTACTACAGCTGAAGTCACACTGAGCACTAGGGCCAGTCAGTTAAGGACAGATACTTCAGACTAACCTTTACTAGCTCACAACTCGCTAAGTGGGATCTACGCAGCCGTATCCGCTGCTGCTGTTCAAAGGGACGGGATGGAGGAGGCACAGACTGTCCCCCAGGTCAGCAAGCAGCAAACCCAGGAGATCCTCAAGCAGGTCACACAACCACGGCTGTTCTCCAACACCCTGATCCTCAGGGAGGGGAGGGGAGAGTATTCTTTAAAAGTACAGTTCTCTTGGAATTGGAGCCTAAACACCTTCCTATGGTTTTCCGGTTACATTTCAATAACCTTTCACTAACCTCCTATAAAGTTTGATGAGTACTTAAAAAAAAAAACAAAACAAACCAGACAAAAAAACCCAAACCAACTCTTTCCTCTGCATAACTCCTAGTGCAGGGAATCCAAACTGGAATTCAAGTCAGATCTATTGTTTCTAGCACATGAATCACCATTAGTAATAAAGATCCTATTGGCCCTGTCCTACCCTCTTTTACAGCTGTACGAACCTATCCTCAGTGGATTGTAAGGCAGTGATTTAGCACTTCCTTAGCAATTCCATGGGATGTACAAGCCCTGATGGAGCCCACCCAGAGCAGTGCTCGCTCCCAGAGCTGTGGAGCTCTGTAGCACTGAGCTCATTGCTGTGACTGCAAGAACAAGGGAGGCTGTTGGGTGCCATTTTCCTACCACCACTTCTCTTAAGGAAAAACAATACTGGTGTGAATAAAAGGTTCCATATATCAAAGCTGCAGATAACTACTGCTTTCAGAGCAACACATAACAGCAGTTCATGAAAGCATTTACCTGCAGAATGTATTTTTAATGCAGCTACAAAAGGTTTAATGGTAGAGGGGGTCAAATCAATAGCTGGAGATTTAAGGCTCATATCAGCTGAAGCCAAAGTGATGGTGATAGAACAGACTACTTGTGATGTGCCAACAAATAATTTACTTTTAGAAAAATATAATGATAAAAAGATAAGTGTAAAGCCCTGCAGAGATGAAGTTCCACCTTTCCCCACCCTGTTACTGAGGCATTAAATGCCTGACATTGTATTTAGAGGTATCTTGATACTGTGTCATAGGTTTGTCTGCGATTCCACACGTTCCGACTCCAACCTTGCCAGTTACGCTCTCAGGGGAAGCAAAAATACTCCTCTTCACCTGCAGATGAAAGAAAACACCATTTCTAAGTATTAAGTGACTCTTAAAAACAAACCCCAAGCATGCAATCCTAATCCTCTGAACAACAACTTTACAGCTAGGCACACATTCTAGAAGCTAGTTCATTGTGATACATTATCAGCAAGCAACAGAGCTGGGAGCTTTCTGGCACCCAAGTCCTGTATGTGATCATGGCACTCGGGACCTTGGGTCAGGCCAACAGTGAGTAAAATTCACCTCTCTTAAGACAATCTCTAGTAATTATTCATAAGGAAGATGGAAGTTTTACCATTATGTCTGGTAGTTATTGCTCAAGCCATGCTAAAAATTAAGTAAGCCTTTAAAGTGTCCTTGCTATCTTTTCTCATAGAATCACAGATTAGTTTGGTTTGGAAGGGACCTTAAAGCTTATTCAGTTCCAACCCCCTGCCACAGGCCGGGACACCTTCCATTAGACCAGGTTGCTTCAAGCCCTGTCCAACCTGGCCTTGAACACTGCCAGGGATGGGGCAGCCACAGCTTCTTTGGGCAACCTGTGCCAGTGCCTCAGCACCCTCACAGTAAAGAACTTCTGCCCAAGAGCTCATCTCAATCTCCCCTCTGTCAGTTTAAAGCCATTATCCCTTGTGCTATCCCTACATGCCCTTACAGATGTCCCTCTCTTTCTTGCACTATGCTTGCTATTCCAGGGTGATTACTTAGTGCTGTGTCTGCCAGCTCATAAGCACAGTATGAAGCCAGCCGTGCAGGTTCTGACAGGCCCTCAAGACCCCTAAGTGCCAGCAAACACAACCTGGCAGCTGCCAGTGAGCAGCTTTCCAAGGTAAGGGCAAGCTCAGCCTCTTCAGAACACCACTCCTCAAATCACCCAGTACAGAACCAGGCCTTTTAAGTGTACAAAACCACACACTTTAGAATCCCAAAGGTGAACCCCCTTTAAAAACCACCTCCCTCCTCTCTCCACGTACTGCACAGAAATTTATTCCCACACTGACAAAACCAAACTAACCTGGCCTTTTTTGTTTTTAGAGTAGGCTCTGTTGTTAAACTGTTGCCACTTGACTTTCTGGTCCTCTCGTTCCTGTTCAAGTTCTTTAATTCTCTGAGCTTTTTTCAAAGCTTTCTTCTTTTTATACTCTCGTTGCTGGGCTATCATCTCTTTTCTGGAAAGAAGGAAAAAACACATTATATATTTGTGCCTTTGCCTGTAAGAAGCTAAAACCCCTCTAAGACAGACATGCACAACAGTTCTCTGTAAGTAAATAACAGAAAACAGCTTGGAAATGCTCCCCACTTCTAGAAAAAAAAAAACAAGTCTTCCCATGCGTAACCACTACCTTGCTTATTTTGTGTATTTGGCCATAAGAACAACAACCACCACCTGAATAAGACCATGCCAAAGGCAATGACCATGGGATTAGATGCAGTTCATCTCTAAAACTGAAAATGCACCTATCAGCATTTCTACATTTCAGAGGCATGGAGGGTTTGGGAAACTTCAATAGCCTTTCGACTGAGTCCAAACATTTCTGGAGGTCTGCAGGACTCTCATGCTACCAAGTATTGGACAAGGATTGAAGGAAAAGAACAGTGTTAATCCAGTAAAGATAAGGAAGTTCGAGGAGTTGATCTGTGCCCCTCAGAACGATCTCTTAGGGAAGGCCTATAACAGTCTCTGAAATTATACTGCCTTTTTCCCACAAAAACTGGTTTCAGCTCTTAAAAATACCTTTCTGTGTTAGACACAGCAGAACACAGAGTAAAGCACATCTCCCCAGTGATGGGGTCAACACAGCTATTCTAATGCAGGGCTGGGGCAGAAGTCCTTCGTACTGGGAAGTATTGTGGTTAAGCAAATCCCAGTTCTGAGCACAGCCTGCATTAGACCTGGGCTGGAACTTACAGGCTCTCTGCTGTCAGTTACAGATAATAACTTTCTTTTAATCTACCACTTAACTTGGTATCTTGAGATAGCATAGTGTGAGTAAAAACAAAGCCCATCATGTTCTCTTGCCAAGATACATAACACCCATGATACCAGCCACAATCACCTACCAAACATTTATATGTTAGATTGATTTAAGATACTTTTCAAGTAAACATATGAAGATATTTAAAGAGATGTAGCATTTTTTTATATTTAGGGGGAACAGAACCAAACAAAGCAGTGTTCAGACTTCCATCAGTATGTTACTCACTTGGACATGGGTTTGTTGCCACTGTCTTCTTTTGCTTTTCTTCCCTCTTCCACAGGCTTGAGGTTGAACAGAGGTGTAACTTCAGCATTGCCATATCCAGCAAATGTGACTGCAGCTGTTCCATTCTCCTCATCTATTTCTTCAATCTCAGCTTCATAACACCTGTAAAGATATCATGGCTGTAAGCATGTGAGTAAAGCTTTAATACTCAGCCCTTCAACACCTACAGTCAGCCAGCTAATGGCATTAAGTAAAGAATCTGCAAATATCAGCCTTCATTTTCAGTGTCAATACACAAACCAAGAGATTATCTGCTCTAGTGGAAGGCGTCCCTGCCCGGGGCAGGCGTTGGAACCGGATGAGCTTTAAGGTCCCTTCCAACACAAACCATTCTGTGATATCCTATGATTACTTTCTTAAGGTCAAAGAGGCACAAGTACCAGGACTGGAATCTGCTGTATTTGACCTTTAGTAGCCAAATGCAATGGCCTCACAGTTAAAGATGCATGATTAATACTGGGGCAAATCTAATCAGATACTCTTGATTTGGTTCTAGCTCTGGCAGGTCATGGCATTGAAAAAGACCCAACAAAACACCTCATCCACAGAATACAGCTGTCAGGGCATACACCAAGGGGTTTTGGAAAATGTCAGCTCACCAGAGCAAAACTCTGGTTCCATTTTTCTCCATATGAAAAAGAATTAAGAAAAACTGAAGCTTTCAAAACATTCCCTCTTCAACATTTACAAAATTAAAAGTGTTCTTATTGATTTACAATAGAAAATTTGAGACTTGAGCAGAAATCAGCCCATGTCATATTTATCTGGATGAATCATTTTTGTCAAACTGACCTCATAATGGGGAAGAGGAAAAAAAAAAGACAAGTGACATTTCCAAAAAAATTGAAATTGAGTCTAAATTAAAAGCAAAAGGACACATCTAAAGCAAACAGAGGAATAAAAGGAGATGTTTAATAAACAGTATTCAGTTAACATTGTCTAAATTAATTTCTTGTGGGATTTTAGTGGGCCAACATCATCTTGAGTTGAATTAAATGAAAATACACGGAAACCCAAACCGCATGAGGTACAAACTGTTAACCCCTGGCTCGTCAGCAAACACTGGTCACTTAAAAAATGCTGCAACAGAAGCAGGGCAGGGGCAAAAGCAATACAGTTAAGTCCAGTCAGATCCACTTCAGTGGACACTGGCACATTCTTCCCCAGGCTCTAGTCCTCTAACTCAGTGATCAAAGCAAGAATGACCTAATGGTGACCTAAATTGGCAGGATTCAATTTTAAAGTTCTGGTTATTACACAAAAGCATTTTACTCATTAACAATCTGTGACAAAAAAAAATGTTCACTTTTAGGTTTGTTTTCTACTCAAGAAATGAACAGCTATAATATAATCTCTATGTGGTTACTACATTGTTACTAGACAGACATTCATTGAAGAAACTTCTCTCCAAGAGCTAATGATTGAGATATTAGTCCTGCATAAATAGTGAATTTTAACAAGCTGCAACAGTTATTTATTTTTTTTTACATTTTGCAGTCTTAAAGATAATTTTAGAACGCTTAAAGACTCTGAAGCCAGAATCTACTGCTTGGCTTCCCAGAGCTTCACATACTAATGCAATGGGAGACCAGATCCAAAATACTGATTAATTCTATATTTACATTAGAAATAGCTACTTCATAGCCAAACCCCAACATTTCCAATTAAAAATTCATTTCCAATCAGAGGCATGAACTGAGCTACAGCAAGGATTTTTCTTGATAGCAATCAATTACATATACATATATGAATGCAATCACAAATTATGAATTACAGATCTCAAAACCTTTATGAAAGCTTGCCCAGGTCAGTTCATGAGAGTCCACCATGTATTACATTAGCAAATGGCCATTTACCAAAGCTACCCTACTTTTATAAGGTCAGTGACAAACAGGGCATTTCTAGAGAATAATCCCCCCCCCCATCTTTGCTTTTCATTTAACATACTGACCTTTAATAAAGACAGTACAAGAATACCTGATATCATATGTATTTCCTACTTTTTCTTTGCTGTTAGTCACCCTAGGGGCAGTTCAAACTGAATGAAAATCTCTTACCATTGCACTATTTCATGTAACTGTTAGAGAAGTTTTCTACACTTACTGTCCATCCTCACTCCATATCGCCATACACCTATCCCCAACCTTCCAGGAGTGGCTGGGCAGGGCAGAAGCAGAGCTGTCAGAACTTGCAAGAGTTTCTGAAGGTTGTGTTGAAAGGAGATCTTTGGTTAATTCTATGACTTCCTAGAAAAAAAAGACAAAAAACCCACAGAGAGTAATTTTTCAGGCTCTGTTACCATGCACATTTCTACCCAATCTTAGTGGTTTGGTGGGTTTGAAGTTACTGAATTCAATTTGTAGCTGATGTAAAGTGGACTAAGTTTGGTTTGTCTTTTTATTCATTTAACTAAACTCCCTCATTGCCAATGTAGATCAAAAGATGTGTGTTCCTCACTGTGTTGCAGTGAGGTTACCATTGCCTTCCCCAAAATTTCAACCAGCAGCCTATTATAGCATTTCTTTCTAGGTGAATTGTGTATCCACGGGCACAAAGACAGAGCTAGACAGGCTCAATAAGAGTCCCCCAAAAATCAATGGTGTGACTGAACACATGACGGCTGCACATGATGTTGGGTTATTGACCAAAACAAAATCACACAGCACGTGGCAGAGCTCTGGAGACAAAATGTGAAAGGTTGCAACACTTCTGTTCTCTCTGCAGCTCCCCATTTCCTCCATCCTTTCCCCTTTGGGCCTGGCTGGCTATACTATATATAGTAATCTCCAAAACACACAGCAACCACAAGTATAATTGCAGCATTTCTAAGTGATGAAGCATTTTTCAGTTACTCAATAATACATGGATTGGCTGAACTGAAGCACCCAGAGCCCAGGTGGAAAAGGACCTTTCCAACACTGCTGTTCTGCAAAGGCCTCTCATTTATGTAAAGGATTCTAAATGCTAAAGAAATTGATTTCCTCAAGTCATTCTAAGGTAAGTGTTTGGTTTTCCTCTAGATTCCCTGACCTTAAGATTCCAGGTCTGGCCAACCCTTGCTTATCCAGCAAGACAAATAACAGGAGCACACAAAAGCCCCTCCCCAGCTTCCTGTCAATATTATATTCTTATTCTATGCAATCAAGCCCACTGGGTTTTACTCGTGTTAAAAGTCAAATGAGACAGGTAAATGGCCATTTAAACTTTCTGTACAAGGCAAAGCAACTCTGCATTCCTTAAAGAAATATCCTTCAGTTCTTTTGAGTTCATCTCAGCATGAACCATTGCTAATTTAAATATTTACTGTTTGTTAAGAGAGTGACAAAGGGTTACAGACAAGCAATGTTCAACTGAAGCGCAGTGGAGCCTGAACTTTCCTCCCAGTTTCACATCTAGTTAAGCTATGGGCATTCAATGACTAGCTCAGGAAAACACCTTGAAGCAGCTGTTCCTCACGCTTCAAGTACCTAAAAGATCACAATCAGCCCCCAAATAAAGTTTCTATTAGCATACATGCATTTTTATCCAATAAACTATACAACTGGCATGAACAGTCTAACAGTTTGTTTCTACTGCAGCTGTTAATGCCTGAATTTCCAACACCCTCCTAACAAAAGCACTGCTCTTTGTTTTAGAGGAGCTGCTAGTTAGTAAGCGCAACAGTAAGCACAATCAGTAGCAAGTAAGCACAGAAACATGCTTACAGTGACTTCTGCTGCTATGGTCGCCATGTGCCATAATGCTACAGCTGAACCAGATTTTGATTATCAATCAAGTTACCTAATTTGAGAGCATTCTGCAGAGCCTACAGCATTAGCCTATCCTCCCAAATGTAAAATCCTAAACTATCCCTCAGAGAGCTGTATTCTGCAAACCCAAGAAGCATCATGGTTTGACACAGCTATCTTGTCTCAGATCAAACACAGTTCATCAGGCATAAGCCACCTGAAAGTGTTTCAGCTACAAACTACCAGTAACATGAAAACTCTTGGCGTATTCTTGCCACATTCATAGATGGCTTAGTGAACAGCTCAAATTTGAAGTTATAGGAACATCTCCCAAAGGTTATTTTATAAGTCACTTACAGAACAGGCTATAAACAGCAAACTTTGGTAAAACTCTTCATCTGCTATGGATACATCATAGTGCTGAGCACACAAGACTGAAACATGAATTTGAAGTCTAAAGTCTTTAACAGAATAGCTCCTTCAGAGAAAACCCCTGAGCAGGAGCCAGACTGCCCTAGCAACTCACAGGGCCACATGGTTGAACATGGCTTGCTGCCACATCCCCATGATGGGAAGGTGTGACCTGCAGTGAACACTGGTTAGTTTGCCAAGAGTTTTCCTGACCAACTGGTCTTTGCAAAGCCAGACAGAGCTCTGCACTCCAGAACACAACACCCACAGGTATCATCTCCAATTACACAAGAGGACAACTACCATCAATCCTGATACAAAAAGGTAATTTTGACTCTTGGGTGCCCAAAAGTGCTTCAGTAAAACAAGAAATGAAAAGCTAAGACTTATAAAAATGTCTTCTAGTATTTATTTTAATCTTCTTACTCAGGAATAAGCCAAGGGTGTAAAATGCGCTAGTGCATCACTACTTATGGCAATAAAGAATGTTTAATTACATAGTACCAATCTTTTTGAACAGACAAAAGGCTGTTTAGTTGGGACACTGAAGCATCAAACCCAGTTTTACTATCATTTGGTTGGCATATATTAAGTCTGCAAAACATTCTGTCATTGTCAAGGTGGAACATATGGATAGCAAACCTTTTGGGGACGAAAGTGTAAAGATCTTCCCCTTTCTGTTCATTCTGTGCAGAAAGCTTTTATAAAAAAGTTTGCAAGTTGTCCTTTCACATCAATGATCTCTGGAGATCAAAGCCGAGGTCGTGTTGGTATCGCAAATATCATCCCATATGGGTTTTGCTGTGCATTTTAGAAATATAAACATATACACGTGCTTTTAACAGTGTACAACAAAGGACATTCAGATGATCTATAAAGTGCCTCGTAGGCACAAAGCCTTTGGAATTTAAAAGGAGTTCTAAAGATCACCAATTTGAGGGACTACTCCTATTTTGGCTGAGACATCATTTTTGCTGCTGCTATTTCCATCCCAAATAGTGGTTATGGAAGCTCTTACTGGGGAGATTCATACATTCTTAGACCTGATGGCTAAAGCAGTCCACAGCAGAAATGAAGCAGACTCTTGCACTCTCAGGACAAGTTTCAACAGTGCTGCTGGGCTTTTTAATGTGCCAATGTGTCTTTATGTGCATGAGAAGCTTAAAGACCACTTACTTCATTTAAAGTTAGGCCATGGTCTTCCAGTCACCAAACAATACCCTAAGGACCAGAAATGGTTTTTAGCTCTTAAGAATGCACTATGCCCTGAAATGTTCCAGAAACTGCAGGTGGCAAATGAAGAACATGACTCTCTTCCTTTCTTATCTAGAAAGCTTAACACAATCAAGGCTTCTTATCTAGAAAGCTTAACACAATCAAGGCTTAGATGTGCAAGGAATAGAGAACTACAAAAGCTGGAGCTTTTGTCACTGCAAATGCATGCAATAAACAAACACATCCTGGATCAAATGACTTGACAACTCAAAAAGAAGCAGAAAAGCACAATGCTAAGCCCAGCCATCAGGCTTCAGCATAGTAAAAACAACAACGAAGTGACTGAGAAATGCTTTTTAAAAAGAAAGAGACAGCAGAGACAGCACTGGCACATCTTTCACCACTCTGGGTAATGTTTTTAGCAGAAGAGTTTGCTGTATAAATGAGTACATCTTGTTTAGTAATCTACAGACAGGTTTAAAATAGGCCACGCTGCTTTTTTTCAAGTCAATGCTACAATAATTGTATCAAACTACGTGAAAAGAAAGCAGTAAACCCACGTGTTTGGTTTTATTGCAA